GAGGGAGGACGAGTGGTAGGAGGACGTTCGGGGCGGATCTCTCTCTCTCTCTCTCTCTCTCTCTCGGTCCTCTCGGCCGTGCAAAACCGCGGCATTGATGTGAAAGCTGATAATACCAGGTCTCACCACTCCACCTGATTAATTTCCGTTTCTTCCGCGACGCGATTTATGGTTATTAGCGTTTCGCTAGTTTCGCGCTACCATATCTCGCTATCTACGAGATAATCGTTGCGCGAGCGTGTGAAATCCGACCATCCAAGAGATTTTCGTAAACAAAGTCTGAATATACGGACAGCGAGAACGATCTTCTCACAAAGTGGAACACAAGCTTTCGTAAATATAATTCTCAAAAACTACTTCTCTTTTCACTGGCGTCGTTAATATTTAACGCATGTTCAAAGCACAGCTATGTTTAGTATACAAGATTTTATACGATGATTCGCATGTGGAAATTTAGAAAAACCACGTGTACACCACATATGCGGTACGCACGAAAAGAACCAATGTAGGAGGATAACAGCGTATCCTCGGATGACGAGTCAGAATCGCAATCTCAAAGCGCAGGGCGCTAACATAAACTGCCCTACAGTAGAATAATGGAACAGTCGGAGAAAAGAGCCGGAGAGAGGCGAGCATTGCCGACGGCTGGCAGACAAGGATAAATAAACGAAGGAAACGGTGTTCGCGTACAAAGGGAAGCAATATCCCTGTCTTTAACCCGTTGCTCCGGATCCCTCGCTCTTGCCGGCTCGTAGAGCTGGACGGAGAGCTAATAGCGGCCGTGGTAAACAAGCCGCTTCTGTGCCGCGGAAACATCACGGCCTCCCCAGACTTTCCTCTTAATCCGTGCCAACCCCTCACTCTCTTTCCCTCTTTCTCCGTCTTTTTTCTTTGCCCCTTCGAGGCGTTTCCGCCATCGTACTCTATCTTCCGTTTACTTCCATTCAAGTCCTTCCACTCACCCTCCCCTCCCACCGCCCGGTTCGCCCCCCCCCCTCCTCCACGGTCTCTATATACCTTCACCGCAATCCAGTCATCCCTCTGCTTCTTCCACGACCATTTCCGTTTTCCTACCGCCTTCTCGCGTCTCCATCCCGTTCTCTCTCGCTCGCGGAGATGTCTAGTTTACTCTTCTTCGGCTTCTTCTGCGGCTCCTCCGCGACGAAACCACACGATTCGCCCGGATGGTTTATTGCTCGCCACGCTTGCCCTGCCGGAAAGTTATCTCGCTCCGTCGGAGTTTCAAATGTGCGCGCTCTCTTTCAGATGAACAAATCTACACATCCACATTGCGCACTATCGCAATTTTATTACATAACACACGCGCGCGCGCGCGCGCGCGTGTGTGTGTGTGTGTGTGTGTATTATATATATAAAATCGTTCGTTACCACTTTTTCTTATCCATTGTGACGTTAATGAAATGATAAACGAAGTATCGCACTCGCACCCGTGCAAGCATTCCGTCATCAATAACGAAGCGTCCAGGACCTTAATGTTTTGTAATTTTACACGCCTAGTTAAGTATGTATCGAAGCAAGCTGCCCGAGAGGCGCACCGTGAAGCACAGCAAGATGATATAAAGGCACAAGTAAAACATGTCTTTGTAAAATTATGCACACTCATTAGCACGTAATAAATATGCTAACGCGTTTTATACTATCTGACGCTCAGTCATTTTTCTTCGTTCAACGCTTAATATATGCAGACTCATTATCGATGGCTGCTGCCTTAGCAGCATGCGGTAGAATAGTCGTCGTTTTGAGAACATTACGGAGAATCGTACGACTGTACAACAACGAGACAAATACTATTAAGCGAGAAACCAATTCTAGAGTAAATAAAAAATTAGTTAATGCAATCGCCTTGTTGATATACGTGTCAAAATACAATACGCTTTATGTAAAATGAAACGGAATAAATTTACACAAAATCATATGTTGTTTCTTATTATAATTTCATCGTATTATTAAAGACATTTATTTTTCGCAAGCAAGTATATATTTTACGGCGGTTTCTTATCGCGACTCGAGAACTCTCTCGTATTTTACAAAAGTATCGAACTCTTATCTTTTACGTAATCAAACGTGAGCGCGAAGACGGAGGAAAGCAATCTCTCAAGAAAGTCTGAAAGTCTACGCCGTGTCCGAGTATTCAGACATTATCGTGATTGAGCGCGCCAACGGTAGGGTTTGCCGGGTTGGAGGGCGAGAACTGAGTGATTTAGTGGGGTGGCTACTCGACGACTGACCGAGATAACCTGCCTGTCCACGGAACAACCCCATTTGTCCAATGTCTTCCGCTACAAAACTGCTCCGATGCCCTCCGGGCCCGCGTCCTTTTGAATAATGATGGCGCTTTGTCAACTAACAGCCTGCCGATAGTACGTACCGAGTACGTTAGACACATACGAAAGAGTACGCTGACTATAATTTCACGTTTTCTCGCGAAACGTCGCCACGTCGACGTTTTCTCGCTGAAGAAAAAAAAGAAAACGACGCGAGAATTTATCTGCAAAACGTAAATTTTAATACTATCTCTATTACGTAAAAGAAGTTAAAAGATATTAAAACGTTACGCGAGTATTAATCTATCTAGCCTTAGTTTTTTTTTCTACGTTAAAATATTAAGGTATTAAGTAAACTGTATTGTCGTGTTACCCGGCCCACAACACTCTGCCGAGTGCCGAAGTGGAATTCTGAGCCGAATCCATTTACGTCGATCGACTTGACGCCACCGTGTCTTTATTCTATTCTATTCTTACGCTACCTGCGGTATCAATGACACCGGCTCTTCCATAAGATTCCGGTTACATAGTCCGCCTTGATCCTTCGCACGTCTAGAAAAGAAGCGCTTCTGTCCTTTTTTTTCCCTTGTTTTCTCCCCAATAGATTTATTGCTATTGACTCATATCTTCTCAGCTACCTACTTTGTCTTACCTGAATAGACATGTATACTGCCAATACATGCTATAGAGATATGAAAGAACACAAACTCGATGTGAGGGGCGGCGATAAAACACAATTCACTATTCTATTTATCGATTATCAAACATATGTTTCTTTGCGTTAACATCTATTACGCATCGTCTTAATCTTAATCTCTTCACTTTAAGATTATAAACGAGATGCAATTCGAAGATGCAAATCGATATATAAAAATATTGCCCTTCGCCCTTTTTTTCTTCACAATATAAATATTGAAATTTATTAGATTCGAAGTGCGCTTCGTGACAGAAATGCGGAATTGCGTTCGATGTGTTCAGTCAAAGGAAACGAGGAACGAAATCCAGGACCGGATGGGAGATCCCGGCTGCGCGAGAAGAAGCAAAATGGACCGAAAGAAAGAGATTGCAGAAGAGGCAGAGGGCACGGGGGAAGGTAGAAGGGCGAAAGAGAGGTAGGATCCTTCCGAAGATGGTACGAGACGTGAAAGAGAGAAAGCAAAGCCGAGCGAGCGGGCGGGCGAGCGAGGTGGGCCGTGAATTTATATCCCCGGTCAGCCACTTGGAGCCATCAGCGGCTCGTTTGAAGTTCCACCTTGGCCGAGCAGACGTTATAAAGACAAACTATGCCTACGGCACCGTCATGCCCCACCACTTTATACCATAATTCTTCAAGCCGATCCACGAAACGGCCACTCGATCTCGACCGACGAGAGAGACAGAGAGAGAGAGAGAGAGAGAGAGAGAGAGAGAGAGAGAGAGAGAGAGAGAGAGAGA